GTCCAAATTGTTTTGGAGAGTTGCTTGTCTTGAGACAGGTCTTCTTATGTATCACAGGCTGGTCTATAACTTGAGATCCTCCTGAGATCCTCCTACCTAGCTTCCTAAGTATTGCAATTACAGACATGCGCAGAGACATCAGGCTTCCAAATTCTTTGAGAGAAGCAGTATTGACTTTTGAACTATGAGCCTTGTAATTGCTAGGCAGGTAGTCTACTACTGAACTGCTGAACCATGCCTACAATCTGTTTTTGTCTTTTTTTTGGTACTGGGGATCGAACCCAGGACGTTGCACTTGCTTGGCAAGCACTTTGCCACTGAGCTATATCCCAGCCCCTACAATCCTTTTTTGCACTGGTTACTTTTGAGACAGAGTCTTGCTTTCTGCCCAGAGGACACTGGGAATGTCATCACTGTATTTTTTACTTCCTGTCTTAGCTGGGATGGCAGGTGCACAGTGCCTTGGTCAGTTTCTTCCATTGAGATAAAGGCTCATAGACTTACCTGCCCAGGCTGGCCTGAAACCATGGTCCTGCCAAATTCAGCCTCCTAATATAGCTAGGATGAAACCTATTAGTTGGGATGGGGTCTCAGGAATGTAATGCCTAAACCACAAATCTCCATACTCTCCCTCTTGATTGCCATCTCTCTCATAGCTAGAATTTCTGGCATGAGACACCTGCTTCACCCAGATTCTTAATGAGCATCACAAAGCCTGTATCTTGCAGTGTTCTCATCTCCATTTGGCTCCCAACTCCTATCTAAGCCACACCCCCATAAGATTCTCTCAGTTCCTTTAATGGGCCCATGTTCTGTGTTGATTCCAAGCCCTCATGTATCCTATTCCTCCTACCAAAAATACTTATGCCCTTTCTGACCCATTCACATACCAAGGAATGCTGACCCTGAGCTGGAAGTGCAGATTTGCACTGATAATGACCATTAGTCTAGTTTGTAAGTGTCCAGTCCTCTGTATTTGTCAGAACTTTCACCCATAGCTTTAAAACTACAATAACCATATTTTGCAAACTAAAAATCTGAATAGGACTGTCTCAGAACACCTTGGATTGATTCAAGGTGACAGCTTTGTGACAGCTGGCATTCAGAACTGTGCCCTTCCCTAGTTGGAGACAAAGGATTATAGTGGGGCAAGAAAGCCGTAGCTGTTTTAGGTACAGATCTCACAACAGGCTTGATCCTTAGCACAGAGTATGGGAGGAATCAGATGTTCTTAAAGACTGAGATTTCCTGCTCAATGAAGAGATGCTAATGCTAATGTTAAAACAACTCTCTCTCTCTCTCTCTCCCTCTCTCCCTCCCTCCTTTTCTCCCCATGCATCTGTGTTCCTAAGAAGGATAAATAATCTTTGAAGCATGTAAAATCTGATTCACCCTCAAAAGAGAGAGGATCACAGATCTTGCCCTTGCCCTCACCACCCTTTGGATAAGGTCCAAGAATAGATATAATCAGGTCCTTTGTCAGGGTTCCATAGAAAACAATTCTTCCTTTTAAAGACCACCAGAAGTGGTACTGGATTCCAAATGAACCAACTTGGTCAACTAGACATTTGGACCCAACCCTGGGGAATCATGGGCCAGGCTGTTGCATTTGAGCACTAGAAAACGCATCCACCGACACCCACGTTAGGATTAACAATGGTCCTGAATCAGCTGCTGGAGTTCTGGAACTCAGTTCTCCACAGAGATGCATGGGAGCCAGAGAGCCAATGGACCCATGGCAGCAACAGGCTGAGTATTTCCTCTGCTTGTCTAGGGTGGAAGACATAGGCTCCCAGAAAGCCCTTCAGAGTCTCTGGCCCTAATCATAGCCCTAATTTTCCATCTAATTCTAAACTCTTTTAGAACTCTGAGAAAAGTTGTAAACTAGCAGGCTAAAACAAGCCTGGTACTCATTTACTGAAGATCACATCATGAATAAAGCCCAGAGTAGAAAAAGTGATTCAGTAAAGATGGTACTTTGTGCACTAAACACAGAAAAAGGAGCCTGGTGGGAGAAAGCCACCGGCTCAGCAGCCTATGACAGCCAAAGTCTGCTCCTGAAATGCTGCGAGGAACTGTGGTTCTGACTGAAGCTACTGGAGGTCATGTCCAATTGTCTACAGGAAGTCTCTGGAAGGAGCACATGGTCACTGGACAGAATAATGTGCCAAAGGATGTGGGTAATACAACTAGACCTACTGCCTTAATGCCTTTGATAAAACACTGGAGCTAAGAGCTGGGTTCTGAAGTAACTGAAATCTTCCATAAATGGTATCTGAATGCAGGCCACAGAGCATCCAAAGCTCCTAGAGAAATTCCTATTATGTACAAGGAAGGAGAATGCAGCAAGGCCCATTTTGGCTAGGAAGAGAACATTCTCTGTTCAGTGAAATTCCATGAGTCCTGTGTTTGGTGCCAACTGCATGCTCATACTAGACCAAAGACAGAAATATTAAGTGTACTGAAAAATGAGCTAGACAGACCAGGCAGTGCTGGACAGACCAGCCCACTAGTTTTCTTGTCACTAAAACATCAAAACATCAAGGCAAGATCTTAAGAAAGGGTATTATGTTTGTAAAGTCTTTGGGTAAGAGTCAATATGATGGGACCCGAAGGAGTAGGTAGTACGTATGAAGCCCCAAGTTCAAACCCCACTACCAATAACAACAACAACAAAATAAGTCAAATTATAAATGTTCCTTGAACTTGCTATAGTAAAACCATTTCTGATCAGCCTCTGATGCACAAATGAACTGGCTGAGATGCGTCACTAGTGACTGCTGCTCTGTGGACCTGACAGTCTCAAGGAAACTACTGAACTTTAAAGTACGCATATGCTCAAATTAGTCATAGCAGGGAAAGAGAACCCCTTGGAAGAGGCCACTTAGCTTAACCAAAGAGGCCTCTTCTGACAACTTTAAACTGTACACATGCTTTTTGGCTCACCCTGGGATTGCATCTCAACAAAGCCATCATGAGTTGAAAGTACATGTCATGCGTCAGCTTACCAAGCATCCCAGCTTAGTATCCGCAGCAATCGCCTACATCTGGGCAAAAATCTAACAAAACCTGACTTGCAGGGGCAGGGAGGGAGGAGTTGGGGAGGTGGGACAGGAAGGGATGGTAGGGGAAAAACAAAGGAGGAGGTAACAATACTTGATAGGAAATGTACTCATTACCTTTCTCATGTAAATATAACCCCTCTGTACAGTATCTTTACAGTAAAAAAAAATGTATACTGGGGCTGAGAAGGTAGCTCAGTGGTAGAGTGCATGCCTTGCAAGCATGAGGCCCTGGGTTCGATTCCTCAGCACCACATAAACAGAAAAAGCCGGAAGTGGTGCTGTGGCTCAAGTGGTAGAGCGCTAACCTTGAGCTGAAGAGCTGAGGGACAGCGCCCAGACCCAGAGTTCAGGCCCCATGACTGGCAAAAAAAAAAAAAAAAGTATACTAAAAAAACCCTGCTTTGTAGTGATGTGTGGAATATCTGACATACATTCACAGGTGATGGTTTTGTAGGCACGAGGCTGCAAAAATCCCAAAGCATAATAGTCATAAAACTCAGGTAACACAGAATAGTGTATATTGAGTGGTTATCCTCAGGCCTGTGGCTGGCTTGAAGCTGCCATTCACTGCTACTGTGTAACATCAAGGGAGAACATCGGTAGCCTAAAAGTGTAGCATTTTGTAGCATCAAAAACTGGAAGGCAATATAAGTGGAACCACTGCTAAGTTGGAACTTAGTGCACTTTTCTTTAGTCAGTAACTTGTAGTTACATTTTAACATCTTAGTTTGGCAACTATCAAATTAGAATTTATGGTTGGGTTTGTCTCTCTTCCTTGTTTGAATTTAGATTTCCAAAGGTAGGAACTTTCAGATGCTTCCTTACTCTGTTTCCAGCACCTATACACAGGTTACAACAGTCAGCCCCTTGTGGTGATAGACTGCCTTCCAACTGCCAAAAAATGTAGGATAGATATCTGTAACTGAGGCTTCATGGACTCCAGCAAAGCCATCATTCATATTAAAATGTCAGAAACCACCACTTATTGGGATAAGAAGTCTCTTTTACTGCAGATGGAATATTAATTAAATCTAGACCTCAAGGCCATGTGTGGATTTAATTAATGAAACAATACCACTCCAAGTGTGACCATAGACCAGCAGCATCTGCATCATGTGGCAGTTTCTTAGAAAAGCAGAATGTGGGGTCCACCGTAGTCCCACGAATTGTAGTGTCTGAGGGTGCAGCTCAAGCGCTTACCTGTGTTTTAATTAAGATCAGTCAAGCAGTTCTCAGTTTTGAGAATCACTGCTAGGATTCTGAGCAATATCCTCCAAAGGCTGGTGTGTTAGAAGATGTGGAGCCCACTCTGGAGATGGTGGGGACTTTAAGAGCTGGGCATACTGCAGGGGATTGGGGTCTGCTCTGGAAGGGTGTTATGAGACTCTGGCCCTTTCTTGCTTTCTTTTTCTTCCCAGACATCACAGGCGCCACATCATGCTCTCACCCAGATGTGTGGCCTCACCACGGGCCCCAAAGCAAGAGCCCATGATCCATGGTCTGGAACCTCTACAAGTGAGGCAAATTAACCTTATTCACTACAGTGACAATTGGTGATGGTCACCAATTGGGAAACCAATACTAATGGCAATGAAATATGCAACTGATCTTAGTTGATATTCAGAAGGTGAAGATAACTGAGAATTGCTTTTTCTTGGCATATAGATTAAATCACCAGGAAAAGGAGAATGGATTCTCTGGCAAGCAATAGGCAAGAACAAACACAGCGTGGTGGAATGCAGGCTGACCCCTGCCACCATTCCACATCAGGATTCACTGACACTCTGAGTTCCTCTTGTGCAAAGCTCCCTTCACTTGGTTTTCTCTCTCCTTCCCTGGGGTTGCACAATCACTGGCAGCTCTTTTTAAGAATCCAGGAAGCAGATGATAAGCCAGGGCACCTCAGAGCACGTAGCCCCTGGGAATGAAGCGTACCGTGATTCAGGTGTCTGATGCAGTCACTCAGGAGTGCACTGAACTTCTTCTGGTCCGTGGCCTCGTGGAAGCAGAAGTAGCCGTGTCTGAGGAAGGGTTGCCACAGGTACACTGGGAATGCCTTGGGCAGGACCACAAAAGGTTGAGTGTTTTCCTTCTCACTGGTGGCTGAAAAAGTATTGGAAATGCACATCATTTAAAAACATGTGGCTTTCATCTCCTATATTGATTTCAGGCCATGAAAGTACCTGTGAACCCACATGAGATGGGAAGTGGGTGAGAAAAACTGGTCATTGAAGCTCTACTCTAGCCCTCCACCAGCTCTACTACCTCACTCCCCTTCAGGGTCTCCATCGTCAGGGGGCTCCTCCTCCTCAGGAACAGCCACAGCCACTGAACACAGATAGCCATGTCTCAATACAGAGTTCTGCAGACAGAGTTCACCTGCCCACTTGCTCATGCATGCTCTCTTTACCCTGCAGGCTCCAGTTCCTCCAAGCTTTTCTTCATCCTGTCACAGCTGAGCAAGAATTGCTGTCTCTGCCACCTGCTATGCTGCCCCTCTAGCTCCTAACTTATACACAAGATCATTAATGTCACCCTGACCGCCAGCCATGCTTTCTTCTTCCTTCTTGTTTTTTCTTTGTACTCAGGGACTCATGCACACTTGGTTTACCTGAAGTATGCCCCTAGCACCGCTTTTTGCTGATTAACTGGACATAGAATGTTACTGACTTTTCTGCTTGGTCTGGCTTCAAATCAGCATCCTCTAAGATTCAGTCTCCTCAGTAGCTGGGATTACAAGAGTAAACTTCCACACTAGGCTTTCACCATCCTTTCAATCTGACCTGAAACATCTGTTGTTGCTAATGATCCCTTCTTTTAAAACTATTCTTTCCCACTGACTCTCAGGGTCACCTTGCTCCCAGTTTCCTTGGTGTTGAATGAATAGATGAGCTATGTTAACCTAGTTAGAAGCCTTGAAAAAGAGAGGATGACACTCTGGAGGCTGGAGGTGTGTAGCTCAATGGTAGAGTACGTGCTTAGCATGTAAAAGACCATGGGTTCAATCCCAGCATGGCCTATCTTCCCTCAAAATCAATTCCAAGAAACTCATGTTAAACTATGGGACCAGAACTATTCAGAACCAAGACATCAGCCGTGTTTCTTTCATGTGATCCTGCTATGTGACATTGTGCTTGTTAAAAAGTCCCAACTTTTTTCTAGCATCAGAAAGAACTCACAGAAGGGAAAATTAGTTCTGTACTCCTGCCCTACAGAAAAGGTTCACCCATTTCTGAGAAAATAAAGAAAGAACAATTCTCTGAGAGGTTAGTGACATTCCGTATTTAGGAGTGAGTCCAGTGCTGAGTGCCATGGCTAGCCTAGCTACCAGAGTAAGACTTTGTGGTTAAAAAAAATAATAAGCTACTGACTCACCTACTAAGGAATAGATTATAATCGTGATTCATACTTAGCCATGGAGCAATTAATAAACCAGGATTGGCTTAAGTGAAAACTAGATTTTAGGGGCATCTATAGATGTACTGTTCCATCTGGAATCTTAAGGGTGTGGGTTTTTCCCTTTTGTTTGACCTTGGCTTTTTGTTTTCTGAGATAGTATCTTGCTTGACAGCTCAAACGGACCTTAAATTCATGATCTTTCTGTCTCAGCCTCCCAAGTACTAGGATTACAGGCATCCTGGCTTATCATACCTGGCTTAATGTCAGAAGGTAACAAAAAGGACAAATGCTCTGGAAACTAAGGTTGGAGCCCATGAGTGCCTAGCACAATGCTTTGTGCAGAATAGCATAAGAATGCTTAACATATGGATGAAAAAAGGATATGAGTAGTTGAATGCTGTAGAGACCTCTAGTTATAACACACTGTTTATTCTCTCCTTTCTCAGCAATAAGACTCTGATTTTTAGTTAGAAAAATAACCATACAGAATAAAAACATACCCACATTTTCAGCCTCCCTTGTAGTTTGATAGGCCACAACTCTTAAGTTGTGGCTTGTGAAACCTGAAGGTATTGTTGAGGGAGATGGAGAGAGGGGAAAAGAGGGAGGAAGAGAGGGAGGAAAAAAGGGAGGGAGAAAGCAGGAAAGCAAGCAAGAAAGAAAGAAGGGAAGGAAGGAAAGAAGGAAGGAACAAAGAAACAAAGAGGAAGAAATACACTCCTCTCCCTTTGTCTTTCCTGATAACTCCAGCTATGGCTAGAACTCTAGCAGCCATCCTAGACTCGGCTAAAAAAAGGACCCATACCTAGAAATAAAAGAAGAGAAAGCTAGAAAAAGCTTAGGTCCCTAACAGATATATAAGTCTGCCACACCAACCCTGAAATAATACCCAAGTGTCTTTAGCAAGATAATAAACCCTGCTGTATGTAATTGGAGATTTTTTTTGTAGTGTGCAGTAAACCAGATTCTAACTAATAAAATGCCAGCTAAATGAATGGCTCTAGTGAAAATGTGGGGGAGGGGGATTTTTTGATCTATCACCCTCGCCATAAAGAACACATATTTATTCATAAGCTGTGAGTGCTTTTTCTCAAGCAAGGTTAATTTCTCTCCTTGTTTTTTTTTGTGTTTAATTTATCCTCTGCAGTAGAAATAGCATCACACAGAGAGTCCTGATTAACATAGTTTTGTAAAGCAGTTCTTGTCTTTTCCAATGTGTCACAATTTTGTGCAAACAACTATTGACCCTTTGCATTTCAAAGTTTCACTCCCATTAACCCGAAGTCATCTCTTACTTAACCTTTTCTAACAATTTTCCAAATGCCATCATTAGTCTGCATATTTTCTGTGTTGAGTTGCAGTGATATCACAAATGATCCACTGTGGAATATTCTATTTTTAAGATGTAGAAGCTCATGACATAAAACAAAAATAGTCATCAGATGTCCCAGTAGGAAGCCCTGGGGCCAATGCACATTAGTCACACAGGCCTTGTGCTTTGTCCTTCTCTTCATTCCTTCTGGTAGGATTTCACCAATAAATCAATAAATACATTGTTCTGAGTGATTTCATCAGAAAGTTCTGGAAAGACTGTCAAATCAACATGTTGGTTTCCCATTTCTCCATGGAACTCCACAGCAAAGATAGCACGATGTTGATAGAAAATACAAAATATAAGAATAGGTATAGTGCACAGAAAGTATGTTTCAGTCTAAAGTATATTTTTAAGTAATAATTTGTTAATCTAGGTTTTTGAATATGGTTTTAAAAAGCATCATGCTAAGCATTCTGCACCAAAATAACAACAGATAAAATGATTACATTTTCCCCATGAATTTTAATGAAATAATTATGCCCATTAATAAAGCTAGTGCTATCTACAAGAAAGCAAGTAATTACGGGGTGGTATGATTTACACAAAGCCACATGGAGTTTTTATTACATTATCCACAGTTCGCAAGTCTCTATGAACTGCTCTATGCGGTCTACTTATCACTCATCCCTTTCTCTACATGAAAATAAATGGAATGAGTGCGAAACAGAAACCAGGAGACTCAGCAGCTTGCTACTGAAAACATTTGTAAAGTTAGGACTAGATCCAAATCATAATTCTCAGGCCAGTGCTCTCTCTATTCAGCCCTATTTATAAATATGTAAATTAATGTGATGTCTTTTTATATCCAGTAGTTGTGAGTTACTATAATAATTGCTTAACGAAATTTGTGTGTGTGTGCAGGCGTGCATGAGAGAGAGACTGAATTTATGATATTTTATGTATTGTTTATTACTGTAAAGTTAGAAGGATAATAAATGTCCCACATGTGAAGATTGTACATTTCACAGACTGAGACATATCTGGTTATTTCTGCTGCCCTACATGGTAATATCATAGCCCATCTTATATTCCAAAAGCTTCAATATTCCTGGCTCATAGCATATATGTTGTGTCTCAAAAAATTTATTCGTGTCATTAATTGGGGTGTAAAACTATTAATGTGGTACAATATCTACCTGAATTAGGGAAATTATATCTCCTATTTGTCTATGGAACATGGGTTTCTAGTCCAAGGTTTCTCCGCCGTGGCATCACTGATATTTAATTTAGATAATTCTTCACTGTTGGGGGGAGGATGTTTTGCATACTGTGGGGTCTTGGCAGCACCACCGGCCTTCACTGGCCGAATACCAGATATATAATATAATAAATATAATATAACATAACATAAATACCATTTTCCAACTAACAGGTCTCCAGGCACTGCCAAGTATCGCTGGCAGTAAAATCCCTCTCCCCCATTGAGAGCCACTGATGTAGCTAAACAAAGCAAATGAAGGGACTTTCCCCCTGGAAAACATTGCTCAGAGACTCACCAGTGGGGTCTGGGAAATGCTTATCAGATAACACGTTATATTCATCTTCTGAGGTCAACACCCTGCCACCAGCAGGAAGAATTCGGCTTTTAGGAGCAGCTCCTTTCTGATAGGCCTAAAAAGAAAAGGCATTCATGAATGAGGTTTCCCCTGTTTGGAGTTTTGAAAAATATCAGAATGATTACAAATGGGTAGACTCAGACATATATATCCAGAGATAGCAAACCCCATACTATGTCACTGATTTTTTAAAAAGACATTTTGTTAAACCTGCTACACTCAAGGCACTGTTTATTACTTTTGTGTGGTGGGCACAGTATGGTAAACCAGTGGTCTAATCTCAGGGAGATTCCAGGTAGCTTGTTCTCAAACGGTGAAAATAGAATCTCAGAAACACCTACATAGATAGTGTGTGGCTTATTTACCATTTCAGCTCTGACTCCTGAATCATTCTGATAACCACAAGGGTGATGATCACACCAGCATTGCACAAAAGGCTTGGTGGCTGATGTGGGCCATGGGTGGTGACTAATGAGGTGGTGGGATGTATAAATGTAACCATGGTTACCACACAGTCTCATCAAAGACATTTCTATGTAGCCATGATAAAATGTGCTGCCATTTTGCCCTGAGGTATAGCAGTTTTGCAGTAAAATGACTAGAAGTACAGCTTGTGACATCCGAATGAATTGTTGTAGGCAGACAGGAAGCCCTCTTGCCTGAGCCACGCCAGAGGCACAAACACTGCTAATGCAGCTGCTCAGACACACCCATAAGAACATACTGATCAGATAAAATTCAAGCATGTGCATCTGAGGGGAGACTGCATGTTTGCATAAAATTTTGAAAAGAACAGCCTAAAAGCAAGTTGAAAATTGAAACAAGATAGTGTGGTATGCAAAATCTTGGGTATACTGTTGGGAAAAACTACAATAACATTGACCTGGGCAGCAAACTCAGAATAATAACAACATATTTAATATTCAGAACATAGTAACTGAAAGGACGCAAACCAAACAAACCCAGAGATTTCTAAGAAGTTTATTTTCATACTTGTAAGAACCACTAGTCAACTGCTCAAATCCATCAGAGACTCAGAGTGTAACAAAGAATGGAAATTTGTATGACTTTGAGAAAGTTTAGATGCCAATGGATTCCAACTAGACTCAGATGTGAATTGGGTTTTTAGTTATCATAAGCCTCAATGTTGGCTTTTGTAAACATTATATCACTTAATCCTGAAGACAGCACAATAAATTAGGTATTATCTTCCTTTTCAAAGTAAAGTGATAAGATAGAGGCTGAAAGAGGTCCAATAACTTGTCAACAGCCCAGCACTGAGTAGGTAACCAACCCAGGACTCCCACTTACCAGTAGCACGCAAGTATAGGAAGTGGGGAGTAGTTATGAGATGGTAGGTATCCAGCTTCCTGCTTAACTACCACCAAGCTGGACTCTCCATACCAATCATAGGCAGTTCATAGGTATTTAATACCTAGCTCTTAGGTGTCCTTTTAAAAACTACTCCAGTAAATTATAAAATAAGGTATTATTAAAATTTTAACTAATGATGACTAACTGCATGGACTTTTTCTTTAAATACCCAAAGGGGTCCTTAAAAATATTTGATTCTTATCTAATTCAGTCACCATAGCTTAACAACCTGAACACATTAGTTGAAAATTATGAGCAAAGAAAAGAAAGCAGCACAACTGTCGTACAATTGTAAGAAAACGGAGGAAGTTTTGTAAAAACGAAGAAATGAAACGCCAGATTTTGATTCACAATGAAACTTGTTAAACATAGTGCAAACTTCTATATAGTCTAGGAATAAGCTCTACAAGTGTATCCTCCCAGTTGACAGAGTGGTAATCCTACCAACATTTGTCATATATTAGGCTTACCCAGAAGCCTGGCCATTCTAAGGGCTTCAGTACTTTTATTCACTTAATCCTTGGCACAATGCAATGACAAAGGGATGATGCACACCATTTATACTAAGAAGCCAAGGTTAAAGAAGATATCTCTTGTAACAAGCACTTATGTGATTCGAAGCCCATAAAGTTGACTAGCCATTCAGCCATCCTGTCTCATCTCCAGATTCCCTGAAGGGACTTGGTAAGGAACCATGAAAAATGTAAGGTGATTGGTTACAATTATTTGTAGAGTATTGATAACTTGTTACTGAATGTAAATAAAGTATTGAATGTAATCCTAATATAGACAAGCAGAGGAAATATTACCTTAATGTTGAAGAGAAAAAAAATCTTATCCAAGAGAATAGTTGATCCTTGTCTAGTAGGCTACAAAATATATTTCATTATATTTTATTGAACATTTCCAGTAAAGTGGGTAAGAAACTCCTAATCTATCTGCGGAATAGCTTTGTATCAGGCAATTGCTTATTGTACTCCAGAGTTTAGTCTCCGGGTGACTGTTGAGCTTACCGTCAAGATAGCCTAGTTGGAATCTGTTAGAGTCTTTAAGTGATTCAGCTATCCATTTCAAAGGGAGCTTGTGACTCTATATAGATTTTTTATTTTTATTTTTTTGCCAGTAGTAGGGCCTGAACTGTGGGCCTGGGCGCTGTCCCTCAGCTCTTCAGCTCAAGGCTAGCGCTCTACCTCTTGAGCCACAGCACCACTTCCAGCTTTTTCTGCTTATGTGGTGCTCAGGAATCAACCCAAGGCCTCATGCATGCAAGGCAAGCACTCTACCACTGAGCCACCTTCCCAGCCCTATCTAGTTTTAATGTTTACGTTATGAGATCTGGAAGGGACAGCTGGGACCATTTGACCGAGTTCTTTAGTTTAATTGAGGCCTAGGTAGTAAGTCATCTGCCATGTGACACAACTTCACCTAAACTCCATTCTCCAAGTGCCCCACCCAGTGTCCTTCTCCTCTGTGGCATGCCACCACCCTGCCTGGGGAAAGATATACGCTACAGTAACACTGAAGTCCTCTCTGGTATAGAAGGCTTCCATACATTACGTATCTCAATTCCTCTACATTTTGCAGAAAACAAAAATAACCTGGGAAAAAAGGTGAAATAAAGTATGTAAAGTGTTCTAATCTCCTAGGAAGCCAGGTTAATTCAATCACAGTCTTCTTGCATAGCTAACTCTTAGACACCTGTCACAAATGAGGCTTAAAAGTGGGAAGACATGAAAATAGAAAAGGAAAGTTAGCACCACAGGGCCTGAGAAGGACCCCATGGCCACAGGAAAGGCCCATATTTCATGCTTTTTTCCTTTCTTTCTTTTTTTTTTTTTTTTTTGTCAGCCATGGAGCTTGAACTCAGGATTAGACACTGTCCCTGAGTTGCTTTTGTCACAGCACCACTTCTGGCTTTTTCTGTTAATGTGATACTGAGGAACTAAACCCAGGGCTTCATGCATGCTAGGCACTAAGCCACATTTCCAGCCCTATTTTCATGCTTCCTATTCTAGCTTTCTATTTTCACACTCACAGCTAGAGCTTGTTCCAAGTCTACCTTGTCCATAGACAGAAAGTGTTCTTCTGATCAGCTGCTCTTTATCCAGAACCTCGTATAACACTTGGCCTAGAACGGTGGCCTATGGCTTATAATGAGTGGATATCTACTAATCACAGTAGGTATCGGAATGAAAGATTGCTAACTGAATGAATCAGTCACCCAGGATGGGCATGCCAATCATCCCAGCCAGTGTTTTCAGAATTTTACAAGGATCAGGGGCTAACAAAAACACATCTTACCTCTTTGTTCTCATAGCTTTCCATGGCAAAATCATTTTTAACCACGATATATCTGTCCTTCCATTTCTTTATGTCTTCCACAAACTGCATGATCTCTGCTTCATACAAAATGGTCCCAGGTTCCAATGGTGGCTTAAAGAAGATGAATATAGTTCACTACTACAGCAAAAGGTAAGTTGCCTTATAAAAACTATGTTATTTTCTATATCTCTAGGGATATTTCAGGAAATGAGGAAAATGTTTTCACCTCTCTGCCACAGTTTTCCCTTCTTACTTTTCCTAAGCAAAAAAAAATCCTTGCCATTTTGGTATCTTTATCATTTTCATATCTTTTTAAGGCATCATGTAAGATATGAAGTAATTAGTTATTACTATTTGTAGTATATTAAAAATTTGTTCCTGAGTACAAATGAAGCATTGAATGAAATCTTAATATAAGTAAGCAGAGAAAATATTAGGTTAATTAATGTTGAAGGGAAAAAATGACCTAATAAAATTGTTAAGCATATAAAACAGGCACATGTGGTAGAAGGCATTATAGCAATCAGCGTGCACCTTGCACCTTGCTGATAGATGGAGGAGGGAGGAAGAACAGATGCTGGTATCTTCCTCAGTTTCCCAACATGCTTCAGGGTTAATTTCTGGAAGGCAAGAGAACCAATAGCCTGTTCCCTTCCTCATCACACCTTCAGGGCACACACCAAGAGCTGTTGCCCAGTGGCTTTTCCAGAAGTCATGAGCACCTAGACTATAAACACTTGGCTTATCCTCAGGATCATCCAGGAGGCCATGTTTGCTTAAAGAGAGGGAGGCATGAAGCCAGCTAATATTAGCTCTACTTGAAAAAAAAAAGTGGAGTAGTATCTCTTATTCACCTTCATGATCTATGCACCACCGGAGAATTTCCACTAGATTCATCATTAGGTCTTCCATTGGGATTACTATGTAAGGACAATCTATTAATGGGCAAGTCATCCTGACTTCAAAATACTGGAATGGGATCCTCGTCTTTTACTTGTCATTGAATTTACATTTATTTTCCCTTTATTAAAAAAATAGTGCCTTTGAAGCTTCTTTCTCTACTTTTAAGCAAAAACTTATATTAACCATACAGAGAAAACAGATAAACTTATTTAAGAATCATCTCGGAGATTAAATCAATTCCCTTCCAAGCTCCCGTGCTTGAAGCCTTTTCTGACAGAAATGATGAAGCAGGCTCCTATCATGCCTCATTAAAAGATGTTTTTAAAAAGAGCTCCCTCCTCTCTTTAAATAAAACAAGCCAGGATATACTGAACTTCAGGGTGTGTATGTGTAGCCTTGCTGTACTACTTAATAAAAAATGTGGACTCATCCTAGACTTACAGCAGGTGTGGGTCATAAGTTATATTTGTTTTGCTGGTTTGGGACAAGGATCCCTCTTTCCCAGTCTCACAGTGATGGGAACATTCATCCACCACCACCTCTCATCAGAATTTGCCTTTTTAACAAGCACTCTAAATTTCACGAATCACTGCTTTATGCAGTCACAGTGATGTACAAAAACATGTGGAAACCCTCTTGCTTAATCAACTTCTTGGGTTTTTTTATACTGATTACATCATCAACGAAATCATGTATATTCTCAGTTCCAGCCTGATAGGGGTGGAGTTTTTAAAACTGCCATTCAAATAGTTTTCATTTCTGAAATATTCAGAGCTACAGAGCTTTCCCCAATGAAGAAAACATGGAAGCCAAAGGTGCTTGGCTTACCTTGGTCTTCAACAATTGTGATGTGAAATCTCTGTGCTGTTCTACCTCACTGCGCACATGATTACAGAAAGCCACTGAATACTGGCGGTTGTAGTATGGACTGAAGTTTTTGATAGTAGCCTCAGTTTTGCCTGGGAGAAAGAAAAAGGAACATTATAATTTTGAAGTGTAGTGTATCTCACAGAATAGACATTGACTCACATAATAAAATTTGTGTTGCTTTTTCGTTTTTTGTTTTTGTTTTTGTCGTCTCGGGCCTTACTTCTGGGCCCGGACGCTGTTCCTGAGCTCTTCAGCTCAAGGCTAGCGCTCTACCACTTGAGCCACAGCGCCACTTCCAGCCTTTTCTGCTTATGTAGTGCTGAGGAATCAAACCCAGGGTTTCATGCATGCAAGGCAAGCGCTCTACCACTGAGCAACCTTAACATTAAGTTAGCTATAATAAGGGGTTTCATCCTGACATTTCCACGCATGAATACATATACTTTGATCACATTCAACTCCTCTATGATACTTTCGTATCCTCTCCTATCTCCTCCTTTTCTCTTCCTCTCCCACTTCCCTAATAGTTCCCGTTTACTTTCTATGTAATTCTTTCAAATCCTCCCCACGCCAACACCTCTCTAACAGCATTGTTTAGCAGGGATTTGTTCTCTGTGTTCTCTGAGAATGTGGACACCTGCTGCAGGTGCCTTGATCTCTTCCTCTCCTTCTGGCATCACCCTTACCCAGAGACTTCAGGGACCCTAATCACCAACCAGCCAGTAACCACACAGGGTTTTCTTCAGTGTACCATATACAATTGCCATGATCATAAACCCAACCATCCCTCAATCCTTCTGACCGCTCTACTTCATCCCCTCTCCTCTTCAAGTTGTTTGTTTTACTCCCTACCCCACTGCCAAACTTTCACCCAATAATCCCAGGTCCACCTTTCAACCCTGCATACACACCCTTCGGTCTTTTCCTCAGATCCCTGAGCTTTCTCTCTGGTCTTGCAACCACTCAGTCCTGGATAAAACCATTAGCCTCTTTTCTCTAGTTGTGTTCTTATGCTTTTGGTTTAAAAGAGTTTTGTGACTCAAAGTATTGTATAACTATGGTGAGGTAGAGAGAGAAACTGTGATTTGAGAGTCTAGAGACATGGGTTGTGGTCCCAGTTCTCACAGTGAGGTAGAAATTAGCTACCAACCTCAGCCAGCACACTCAGTGGTCAGGCACCAGTGCCCTTGTACTGTGAAGGGAGAGGCCAATTAGTCCACATTTTGCTTGAGTCTGTGTGACACTGAAGATAATCATAGATGCACCATTGTCTCAGCTTAGTGACCAGCAACTAAAGTACGGTCTCTCAGTACCAGGCACAAATTAATCTACCAACGATTGTAGGGCCCAGAATTGGAAGAAGGAGAGTTGAACACTGGTAACTTACTGGGTAACTTACTAGCCCTCTCCAACGATTTGGATGAGGAGATAAGAGGAGAAAAAAACAATGGGGTTTAATGATAACCATTCACACAGGAATAGAAATCCTCAAAACATTTGAAGTACTAAGTGTAGATTAAGAGTCCATAGAAGAGGATATGATCTTGACAGGGAAACAAAAAAAAACCAACTCACATCACATTCCAATATATTGTTAAATTCTTCATGTGAACTTGACATTCTTCTTTTGTTTTTGACATTTCATTATAGTCAATAGAGAAATATTAGAACATAACTTATTGGAAAGTGAGAGTTTAATGTTTACTGAGATATTCAAGAAGAGAAACTTGGATCCTTAGCTGCCTGGGTGTAACCTATGAAATCACAGCCCAGATCCCTAAAAAATAGATGAATATTTTCTAAAGATGGCGATTTCTGCTCTGCTTGGCGATTCAGTCCTTATAATGTGCATGAGGTAAAGGGAGTATCATTGTATTTGCTTCATAAAATGACATTTCTGTTTATATTTCTGAGCTCTAGCAATTAGTACTTGTAAGGTCCTCTGAGACCCACTAATATAGATTTGGTGGTCATGCAAATAAAAACTGCTATAACTTGAATCTGGCATGCTTTCCTTTGCCCTGTGACTTGTAGTATTATATTTAATTAGCATTTGTATAATACTTTAATATACTCTGGCTTTATAACTATCTAATTTGTTATTTTATTAGCTTTAGTAAAGCACATAAGTCATGACATTCTATATCCTTGCCTATAATTTTCTTACATAGCAGTAGGATATCTTTGAGAATCCCCAAAGAGAAAGAGATTTCCTTTTCTGAAAAAAAAAAAAACTAATAATAATGAGCAATTAACAAAATTTGTCCTTTTGCTCCAAATAACCACTGTTTGGATTGCCAGAAGAGTAGCTTGTTAATTGCTGACGCTAATTTCTGCACTCTGAAAAGCACTTGGACTGAAATGAAAGGAGGTGTCTGTCATTTGATGATGAGTGTATAAACCCACGAAAGCTGCTTTCCTGCCATATTACCAACCCTCCTCCAGGAGCAAGCACCCTGCTTCTGCTGAAGTGCTAGGATGCTACCACTCCTTTCCAACGTATGAGGAAAATGCTTCTGTGATTTGAATCTCTGCATATGTGCACACCATCCTGGCAACATTTATAAAGAAGGGATTTTACCTTCCTTAGGTAATTAACCTAGACGAGTTTGAAATGTGAATGAAACAGCTAATCACATCATCAGTTCTTGGGAGACAAGACACTAAAACTATTCTCCAAGTGTGTTTAGATTTTAGCTTAGATCTAGATAAATTCACATAAAGGACACTGAATCTAGAGATCTTCAGAATGGGAGCAAAGTCCAGTGTTGGGACAAAAAATACCACTGTGGTTGGGAAGATAGAGTCTGGAGTGAGCCAAACAGGGTTTAAGTCCCATCTCTGCTACTTACCTACTGTGATATCTCATGTGAGTTACTTTCTGGCATGTGAAATGAAAACAAAAAAGTAGCCACCTCGGAGTGCAGTGAGGGCTCCACACTATGGTTGGACTTGTAGAAAGTGTGCAATCGTTTACATTAACCAAACTGATGGTGACAATGGCGATGAAGAATCTCCCCTGCCCACCTCCTCCCAGAAAAGCTGAACCAAGAAATCAAGAAGCCAAAAGGCAGGTTTTCTCTACTGCCATTCTTTTTTTTTTTTTTTTTTTTTGTTCTTATTGTGGCTATTTCTTTTTTTTTTTTTTTTTTTAAATTTTATTTTATTTTATTTGAGAACATACTGTACAGAGGGGTTACAATTACATGGGCAGGATAATGCATACATTTCTTACCAAGCATTGCAGCCTCCTCCTTTGTTTACCCTTCACCTCCCTTCCCGGCCTCCCCCCTCCCTCCCAACCAATCGTACCCCCCCTCCCCCCCCCCCCCCCACCGACATTGTAAAGCTGGGTTTGACATGACATTTTGTACTTCTCATTGTTGCAACAGGTCCACCTGAATCCTTAAACGACTTGAACATGGGACATCCTGATCTGCTGCATAGAAGACAGCCATCCCACCCACCATGGGCTCCACAAAGGTATTACATACAACTTCCTTAATGTTGCCAAAGAAAAGGCTCTCAGTGAGGCCCTGAGTTGAAATCAACTGAATAATGCCAGAAGTAGTGGTGCACAGCAGTAATCCCAGCACTCAGGAGGCTAGGAGAAGGGAGTTTGAAGACAGCTTGGGCTTCATAGAAAAAAAAAGAAAGAAAAGAAAGAAAGTAGGAAAGAAAGAAAGAAAGAGAGAGAGAAAAAGAAAGAGAGAGAAAGAGAGACAGAGAGACACAAAGGAAGGAAGAAAGAAGGGAGGGAAGGAAGGAAGGAAGGGAGGGAGGGAGGAAGAGAGAAAGAGAATGAAAGAGAAAAAGAAAGAAAGAGAGAAAGAGAGAGAAAAAAGAGAAAGAGAAAGAGAGAAGGAAGGAAGGAGGAAGGAAGGAAGGTAGGAAGGAAGGAAGGAAGGAAGGAAGGAAGGAAGGAAGGAAGGAAGGAAGGAAGGAAGGAAGGGAGGGAGGAAGGAAGGAAGGGAGGGAGGAAGGAAGGGAGGAAGAGAGAAAGAGAGAGAAAGAGAATGAAAGAGAGAGAGAGAGAGAGAAAAAAGATAAAGAGAAAGTGAGAGAAGGAAGGAAGGAAGGAAGGCAGGCAAGCAGGAAGGAAGAAAGGAGGGAGGGAGGATGTAAAGGAAGGAGGAAGGGAAGGAGGGAGGGGAAAAATCAATGACATAAAACATTGCCATGAATGAGCAGAAAGTAAAAGGTCTGTATTAGCTGTGTTGCTTTGAGCTTAGTCTTCCATAAAAAGGAGGTTACTGGAAACTACAATGACTGAAGCAGGGCACTGGTGGTTCACACATGTAATCCTAGCATCTCAGGAAGCTGAGACCTGAGGGTCATGGTTCAAAGCCAGCCTAGGCAGAAAAGTCCCCTTCACCACCAGAAAATTGGAAGTGGAGCTGTGGCTCAAAATGGTAGAACACTAACTTTGAAATAGCCTGGGACAGCACCCAGGCCTTGAGTTCAAGCCTTATAACTAACAACAACAACAACACACACACACACACACACACACACACACACACACACACACACACACACAAAGACCTGTAACTGCTGAAACCAATAAAAGGTTCCACATTTTGGTATAGAAGCACTTGGAGAAAGATATATATTTCTTTTAATCTTTTTTTTTTTTGCCAGTCGTGGGGCTTGGACTCTGGGCCTGGGCGCTGTCCCTCAGCTCTCCAGCTCAAGGCTAGCACTCTACCACTTGAGCCACAGCGCCACTTCCAGCTTTTTCTGCTTATGTGGTGCTGAGGAATTGAACCCAGGACCTCATGCATGCAAGGCAAGCACTCTACCACTGAGCCACCTTCCCAGCCTTCTTTTAATCTTACTTAATGATTCCAGTACAATTTATGTAACCACAATGTTCATAACTCCTTCAGGCAAATTCTCACCACAGCTAGACACTTCCACAGCTTCATACACAAAACTGAGCCTCACGTCTACTTTGCAAAAGTAAGAAAAGTTGTCTGCTGGCCCCACAACAACCATCTCCATCAATACCAACTCAAAAAGTCAGTATTTATCGATCCTTCTTCCCAACTACCATCAACCAAATCCTTGTAGTTCTATGTTAGTTCTT